GCAAAATTCCATCCCAAAAATTTCAACTCCTGTGGATATGGGATCACAGATCAGGGGCTGGAATTCCCAAATTCTGTCTTCTCCGAGGGCTTTTCCAGCCTGAAAAACCCCTGGAATTCCAAAATCCCGGAAATTCCGGGTGATTTTATCACCGGATCCAATCCCTGGGGAATCCGAACAGTCGGAAAAAATCCAAAGAAAAAACAGGGAAAGGGCTGAGCTCCATCCCCACACAGAAATCTCGGGATAAATCCGGAATTCCTTTCCCATTCCAGTAATTTTCCCTTGGCTTCCCGAGCTCCAATTTTTAATTTTCCAAATTAAAACCGGGAATAAATAGCTCGGGAATGAGAGCCGCTTCCTTCCTGGGAATTTGCTGGATGAGCAAATTTCCCTTCCCGTGGTTTTCAGTTCGGCTCCTTTTCCCAAATTTTTCCAGCCTCATCCCTCATCTTTTCCCAAAATTTTCCAGCCTCATTCCTCTCCTTTTCCAAAATTTTCCAGGCTCTTCCCTCTCCTCCTTGTCCTGAAATTTTCCTGGCTCATCTTTTCCCAAAATTTTCCAGGCTCATCCCTCTCCTCCTTTTCCCCAAAATGCTCTGGATTCATCCCTCTTTTATTTTCCAAAAATTTTCCAGCCTCATCCCTCTCCTTTTCCCAAATTTTTTCAGACTCATCCCTGTTTTATTCCCAAAACATTCTGGGTTCATCCCTCTCATTTTCCCAGATTTTTTCAGCCTCATCCCTCTCCTTTTTCCCAAAATTTTCCTGGCTCATCCCTCTTTTACTTTCCCCAAAATTTTCCTTGTTCATTCCTCTCCTTTTCCCAAATTTTTCCAAGCTCATCCCTCTCCTTTTCCAAAATTTTCCAGGGTCATCCCTCTCTTCCTTTTCCAAAAATTTTCCAGCCTCATCCCTCTCCTGTTCCCAAACACTCTGGGTTCATCCCTCTCCTTTTCCCAAAAGTTCTGGGCTCATCCCTCTCTTCCTTTTCCCATTTTTTTCCAGCCTCATCCCTCTCCTTTTCCCAAATTTTTCCCGCCTCATCCCTCTTTTCCTTTTCCCAGACTTTCCGCTGGCCGGTGGCGACCAACATTGATGGCAACGAGATCCTGGAGATCCAAGTGTTCAACTACAGCAAAGTTTTCACCAACAGGTAAATCC